GAATGATCAACTGAATGGCTTCACACACTGATACCAAAAAAATAAAAAAACACACACAAATTCTTTGGTTCTGCATACAAATTATTGAGATTGCACCCTCCCTCCCTTTCACTTTGTTCTATGAATAGTGGTTTAGATTTGTTTGAATTGAAAATGAACAGACAAAAATCCAACTAATTTTGAACTTCTCTTTTTTTCCTTTTTGGAGTTTAACTGTAGTCAATTTTTTACTATTTGAGGTCTAATAATTTATTCATAAATTATTTTCCTTGGGATTAATTAAACATATCTTGCATGCCAATGCAAACCACACAATCTCATGAAATTTCACAAACTCGCTGCTTGGTAAATCATAACAGCAGATAACTAAAACTTTACATGACTTAACTTTGCCATTAAGCTGCTGGATGCATGTGCCATTTACCTTGTGCCTGCTTCCTGTTGTGAAACTTCCAACCGAGTCTTGATTTGTTCGGATAAGACCCCAACCGCAAGAAAACCGACCCATGCTAGACCCGCCCCAATTCCGAACCGTCTTGTTAAACCGGAGGCAATCCAGTCAGTAGAGTCTGCAGTTGTTTTCTTCTTGTTGATTGGCCTAATTTGTGGCTGCTCTGAGTTAGACCTGAGGGCAGATGGGTTTTCATGTGATTTTGGAGTTTGGTTAATATTGTTATTGTCATTGCTATTAGATGCCTGTGGATTTGGTGTTTGTGAGGATGGAATCAAGTAATTGTTACTTCTTGTTGCTATGGGGTGAGACACAAATGGTTGGGATGCAAAGAAGGATGCCATTTTTTAAAAAATTTTCCGAAAAAAAGATAATAACAAAGTATGTAAAAATATTGGGATATGAAATGGAGAGGGGTATATATAGTATATATACTACCACACAATAGTTGGTTTGATGGTCCTACCTTATCTTCAAATGTGATGGTGTGTCAAGTTCTTTTAACTCTATAGCTGGGTGGTGAAGAGAGGAGGGTGAATTGAAGACAAGAAATTATATAATGTTATTGGAAAAAGAAAATTCTAAACCAACTTGGAAAAAAAAAATGATAATTGCACAAATTGTTCCCAAGTCTCATCCTACCTAAGAAAAAGGGGCATATAATAAAAGAACCAAGCTATTTGCCAGAAAATGTAATTATGAACTAATTTTGGACTTATAATACTTTATTTACATTTTTGCATCTGCATATGATCGAATATCAGTATATTTCAATTTTACAAAACACAAGTGCTACTGTTAGGTTGTCTAACCATTGGACAAACATATTTTCTTATGAAAAATGCATACTTATCGTATGAACAAACATACTTTTATTTATAAAGTATTTTAAAGCACGACATTTAAGTGTGGAAGTATTATGTACGTATGTTGGAAGAGTATGTCTATCTATCTAACTATTAGACCATTTAACGTAAGGATTACTGTTTACAAAATTTTAAATTATAATGTACTCAAATTGAAATTAATAAAAACACACTAGAGATAAATTAATTAATTTAGAAAAAATTGCATTTGAAAGGAACAAATTTAATTGAATTAGAAAGAAAATAAATTTCATACTATATATCTTTTTCTAATAATTTTTTGACAAATAACAAATAAAATAATTGTAATGCTTTTCTCCCCCAAAAAAATGGAAAAGGCAAACGCGGGACACTGCCTAGCAGCTTACGCATAGGAAGAATGGAAGAAGCTCGTTCACAGAGCCACAACTCCACACCGCAGCCGCCGCCGTCATCATCATCCCCGGCGGCGGCGCGGCTGTGGAGGCCAGCTGCACAGCGGAACCTGAGGAACCAGTGGACGAAGCTCAATTCTCTCCGCCAAGACTGGCGCGCTTCAACCTCCGCCGCCCGCTCGCACGCCACCGCCATTGTCAACTCGTACCTCTCCCAAAGGTAAACCACTCGCGCATATGTAGCAATTGACTGGGGTTTTGTTAGTTAATTTGTCTGTTCATTTTTTCTTGATTTGATGCATGAGAGAATTTATGTATGTTGTGATTGTGTGAACATAAGGCCGCATTTCAACTCTTACAGACTGGAAGAGTTTGTGAATCCCAGTTGTTTGTAGTTTATTTTATTTGATTTGATTTGATTTAGGGTACTAAGAAAAATGGGTTTCACAATCAAATTAGATGATAATCTGGGAACCTGATTATTTTTCTGTAAACCATCAAGGTATCCCCACAGGACCTAAGGGCCCAAAAGAAGGGATATCTGAGAGAGACGGGCTTTTCGTGTCATGGGTTCATCTCTGTTTGACGAGTTGTTACTTTATTGTTTTCTCACAGGTATATGGATGGAATGGACTTTGGTGTACTGAGTGACATGCCTAATATCAGGAAGAAAGCTTGTGCCAAATTGTTGAAGCAACAGGTGTGCATCTCAACATTTTGCGTTTTGATTTGACTTTGTCCAGTTTGCATTATGCTCAGTTTTACTACTTGAACTTGACATCACAAGCATAAAGGTAATGCCCAGATTGCAAGTTTTTGTTTACCTTGTTAATTGTGAAAGTTTGGTGGCATTGAATTACGATAAATGGTTCAATTGTGTGCTATACTACCACCCTCTTGTCCCCAAAAAATATGTTAAAAAGACTTTTTTTTTAAGAGGTGATGGCCTAAACATTGAATATGTGTGCTATCTGAAACCCTCTCTGCAAGAGTATGTTTGGAAATGTAACGAGTCTTTTTTCCATTTTTTTTCCAGGAGCTTTACAGAGGCAAACTATTGTCATCTTACAGAGACATGGTATGCATAGTCAACCGTCTTCCTTATTCTGTAAAAGAACGTGGGCTGAGATATCTATTTTGTTGTCGCATGTTAGCTGGGGTTTTTCTGCTTCTGTATGTTTGGATTGCAATAAGATGAATTTAGAAATGTTGTCATGAAATTTGCTTGATATTGTGATTGGCTTCATATCCCTACCGAACTATAGTGATCATGGCTAGTGAGTATTGACTCTTTGTGGGGAAGTTTATCTATCTTAACTAGTTGAATTGCTATAGCATTTTGTTTTAGTTATTGTAAAAAACTGTTCTTTTCAACTGCATGAGCTGCTTGCTTCTAAAAGTTGGCATTTTATTATCAAGTAGCGCGTTTGTATAATAATGTACCCATCTTTACAGGTTGCAGTTGTGATGCAAATGACTCATTGTTGTAAATCTATGAGGTGTTATTTTAGAGGGACAAGCAGTAGTCCAGTAGCCCAGTTTTCTTCATCCTCAGAAGATGGCAATGACAACGGTGACTGTGGTGGAATTCCCGTGTTTGCATTTTATTCGGTTTCTTATTTTGGTATGTGAAAAACCCTTTTGCAACTTAGTCTGTTTTTGCTTTCCAGTTGCATCGTGTATCTATCAGGCCAGGAACACAATATTGTTTTCATATATCTTGCACCTTAGTGTCTTATAAACACTTGACATTATTTGTACGGAAAAACGGAAAAAGCGAAACTCAAAGAGTCACAATGAATAATGTATCTCAATTGATATAGTTGTGTTGTTTATGAATTGCTGGTTAGGTATTTGTTATCTGAAAGATATTTCCGTGTTAGTCCATTTATTAGAATTGTGAAACTAGAACATGAACACTACACTCATCTCAAAGGACCATGAGAAAGGATATTCAACAATGTTTTATACGTTATATTTTAATTCCAACTAACTCTGCTTGTTAAAAATTTCAAGTCTTTATATGCATATGGCTTAGAGTTCCATTTTCTATTGTATTTATTCCCGAGTTGTTTTGCCTGGAGTCTTCGACATAAACTTTTAACATCAGCTTATGAATTTGAATTCTCTGATATTTTCCAGCCTCCGATGTTTATTTTTGTGATATCTTTATATTAACCAGAATAATAAAATGATTTCAGAAGAACTAGCTTGGGAGATTGTTCGAATGTTCATATCAGAATTACAAGTGAAGGTGTAATTTTTATGCCCATCCACTTTGAACTATCACTTTTTTTGTTTGTTTATTATCTTTCAATTTTGTATGGATCTAACGTTTTCCCTCACCCTGTTGTCTCGAATACCCTGCGCAGAGGGTGCTTGTCTTGGAATTGCTTTCAATATATGATGAAAAAGTTGCAGAGGCTAATAGATTGCATTGGCCTGATGAGTTATACGAGGGAGAATTTAGCGAGTTGAGCACATTGAACTTGTACTCTGAAGAAACTCAACAGCCAAAATTTCCATCCCTTGGAAGTTGCGAATCTACTATTCCTATATTGCCGTCCGAAAAACAGCCGGATAGCAATGTTTTACAGGTATGGTCGGTTATCGTGAAGTTAGATTCTGAAGTGTGAAGTGTGAACATTGAATACATTTATAATCTCAGATTGAATTGCTCAGTAGCCTCGTCAATAATTCTACTTGTTTCTTTCTGCTGGACAGGTTTACATAACCACATGGATGGTAGAGGTGAACATAGATAGATGCAGGTATAACTGAGGATAAAATTATAGAAATATGACAATGAGCTATGTTTTTAACATAATAATATCTCTTTGTGAATTGCTTTTTATCATTTAGAATGTTCCTTTTGAATCGTTTTTAATCATTTCTCGATTATTTTCCTAATGCTTGTACATTTTTCTTTTTGATAGAATGGACGAAATATTTGCCACCGTAGGAGGGGAGATGCGTGTCGACTTTGTTGAAACATTTGGTTGATGAGTTGAGGGGATAAAAAGAAACACTTTTGTGGGGTTTGCGGCAATTTTGGAAGTGCCCAAAATATTAAAAGTTATCAGAAAGTTGTAGTTGCTATGCTTTCATAAATGTAACAATTTTTAAAAATGTTTCTTGATTGAATGAGTGCCCCATAGAATCCTTTTGTAATGCCGATTAGTGTTATAATTCAAAGGATAGCACTTTTAACTAAAGACTAAAGAATGAACATTATTGGAGAAGTTTGACTGTTTGAGTAACAGACTAGTTAAATGTTTTTCCGCACCATGAATGATAATGAGGTTCAGGTCATACTCTTAAAAGAAATAATGGAAAAAAATGAAGTGGGAAAAAATACATTTGAACAAAAAGAAGCTACATCATCATCATCTAATGTGCAACATTATCAAACCAAAGCCCAAGATTTGAATTGAAAGTGAAAAACTAAGGCAAGAAATTAGATTTTAATGTAATGTTATTAATTTTTAATTATTATTGTTATTATTTATTACTTTACTTATTTATTGTTAATGTTAGTCATCCCAAACCAAAGGCCAAAAATGAGCATGTATATGTACAATACAAACATGTTAACATATTTTATATTTGTAAAAATATAAAAGAAAAAAAAAACCATATTCGATGCGGTTTGGTTAAAATCGCATCATTCGGACAAAAAACCAAAAAAAACCATATTCGATGCGGTTTGGTTAAAATCGCATCATTCGGACAAAAAATCGAACCGCACCGAAATTTGTGCGGTTTTCCAAAATTTTAACCGCACTGAATACATCTGTTCGGTTCGATTTTCGATTTCGGCTCGGTTTTGCTCACCCCTACTCGTGACCTTGTTTCGTAGCCCGTTAAACTTTGTTCGTTAGTGAATAGATTTTTCACATAGTTTCTACCTTAGGCTATGTTTGGTTCAACTGAGGTGAGAGGAGGGGAGGGGAGGGATTTTAATGGAAGGAAGGGGAGTGAAGGGGAGGTGAAGTAAAATAATTTTACCTTGTTTGGAGGAATTTTATAGGAAGGGAGTGAAGGGAAGATGGTAAATCTTGTTTGGTTAAAATAAGGGAGGGGAAAGAAAATATTGTAGAAATGACAATTATATCATTAATGATGTAAGAAATAAAATAATAAAATAATTTACATATAAAGAATAATATAGTAATTGTATGTGATAAATTTTCCCTCTCCTCCAAATTCCTCCACTTTTGGAGGAGAATAGATTTTCCCTTGTAAGAGGAATTTGAATCCCTGCCCCCACAAAAAAATGAACCAAACAAAGAAAAATTATAAAATTCTCTTCTCTCCCTTCCCCTCCCCTCACTTTCTCCCGAACGTGTTAGTTCGATTCATTAATATTTGAACTGGGCTCTGGGCCTTGCCTGGTTGGTAGGAATGGGCCCAACCCGGTTCCAGGACCCGTTCAGAAAAAATTGAATCCGATAATTCGTCTAACGAGTAACTTGAATCTGAGAATTCGTCTAACGAGATTTAGGAGTTTCGCGCATAATTTCACTTTCATGACATGAATTTTTGCGCAATTTTTAACAGGACAAATCCAAGAGGAGAAGAACAACGAAAACGGATATGGGAGAAAAAGGATGTGGGCAAAGAAGATCAAAGATGGCGCCTTTTTCTCTCGCATAGCCCCTTCATGTCCAGATTTGTTCGAGCGATGCTTGCTGTTGTTGTTGGTCTCTGAAACTAGCATTTTGTACTTTCGAATCACTTCAATTCAGAAAATGATGGAATTCGGGTACAAATAATCAATTTTGAAGTTCCAACGATGCTCTCTCTGTGCTGCGTGACCTCATCGTTCTTAAGGTACGTGACCTATTGACCTTGCCCCAATTTCATGTGCTCTGTAATTGACTGAGTTTACAGTTTATGTATGAGTTGGAACTGGAAACCTAAGGTTGTCAAGTTTCGTTTTTCATTATGCTGTAATATGAGCTGGTTATGCTGACCAAGCTGAATACTGAGCTGAAATTCTGGGATTTTTTGTTTACTCTTTGTTTCTTTTGATTTGCCGCGTACCTACTTATGGGTGTCTATTGCCTACACTATCTTTGTTTTCATTTCCTGAAAGAATTCCAGTTTTGTTTTCACTTTTTCAATTTTTTGTCTTTTAGAAAAGAAAATTATTCATCTAGATTTATTGTGGTTTGGAGCTGTGAAATGAATTCAACAAATAACTAAACCAGCAAGTCGATAATTGCATGCCTTAATTTTCTGGCACTTGGAGAGGATTTACATTCACTTCAAAGAAATCGGCTTTAAACTACCGACCCGTGAACCCAAAAACAGATGGCTTTTTTTAATTTTATGTGATAGCTGCAGTTTTCTCCTGTTTCTGGCTAGCTTGTTGTGGGTCTACTAAGATTTGAGTTGGTAAGTTTTCTATGGGGAAGTCGAGGAACAAATTAAAATATAGCTGAAGCCTAAAAGTTCTTAACGATTAATGAGTAAGACAGCGCTGTAGGAGTTCTCAACCAGTTTTAGGAATTGCTCTTTAGACTTGTTTGGTGTTAAGAGGCCTGCAAAACTGAACTTATTCAATAATATCTCTACATGGTGACTGTAAGATGAGCTTTAAAATGAAGATTTTGAGGTGATATTAAGGCCATCTCCAACCGATAAACTCATACTCAAACCCATTTTGCAGTAACTGTCCCATTTTGCAGTAATTCAACTCCAACCGAAAAACTCATTGTCAAACCCAATAGAATATTCTCGGAATATTTTCTTTTAAATCAACTTTTACAATTTTTCAATACTACCCACATATTTTACAACTTTACAAATAAAACCACACTACTATTTTAAATTCAATTTAGACTTTATGTAATAAAATTAATTATAAAGTTATAATACATAATAAAATCGGAGAAATAAATGCTCATGAAAAATTAAAATTTAAAAATTACAACACATAGGATAAAATCGGATAAAATTTTATTATCGTAATTGTGTGATGTTATATTTCATTTCAGCACCTGATTACTAAACTAATAATGTAGGCTAATAAGGCTTACTTATATATTATTGTATTTTAAATTTCATTTTTATTGGTATTATTCTCTATGCGTAAAATTTATATATTTTTTATTTCATTAGTATAGGCTAATAATGTTTACTTAGATATTATTATATTTTTAATTTCATGTATATTATATTTTTAATTTTATATTACTGATATTATATTTTTAATTTCATGTTTATTTTTATTATATTATATCTGTAAAAGAATCATATACTATTATTTCATTAGTGTAGGCTATTGTATACTATGATATTATTATATTTTTAATTTACGTTTACTTCCTTACTGGTATTATTATCTGTGTGTTAAAAATTTTAAACCAAGTAGTTTACTAGTAACAGGATTTCTTATGTTCTTTAATATAATTTTATGTTAATAAATCATTAAGTTCGAAATTATATACAAAATCAAAATATATAAGCTATATGCTATTTTGTTAAGGGGTTACTTTGCAATTTTTAAAAAGAAATGCGTTTGTGAACAGTAATACGCAAATATGCGTCCAGAAGAGAGAGAAATTGAGCACAAACGCAATTTGCGTCTCTGTTTTGGTATCGGTTGGAGCACTTTTATGCGTTTGGGTATGAGTTTGAGTATCGGTTGGACTTGGTCTAATAATTTGTCACATAACGATCTAGTGTGTACCCACAGAACCATTTTTCTTTTCTATTTACATGCGAATTGTGATCCAGACAGCACACTATGCCTCGTTCTTGGTAACCCTTACAAATTGAAGAAGTATTTACATAGGAAATTGGATATAAATTGTAAATAATGCTGACGAAAAGGAAGTAACTAGCTTGAAGAATTTGAGGAAGAGTGTAGGTTTTGGAGATTACTTTTCTGTAATTGGTGATACAAGATATTGAGATTGCTCTTGGAGATATACAGATTCTTTTTCTTTGGGTTTTCCTACATTCATCTGTATTACTATATTGCTGTCAAAATATATGGAGATGCCAGATAATAAAATTATGAATGCTAGCATCTAAGTCATTAGGCTATGTAGAGATGCTTCAGTCTGCCTGTTGACCAATATGAGTCTGTCGTAGAACTTGTGTGTGTATGAAAACACTTGATGATGAAGTTTTTCTTTGACAGCGTGATCCCTACTTCGATAATAGTGGATGCTCACATCCTGGTTGTGAGAAAGTTATTCCGGAAGACCCTAAAACTACCATATACCAATTGTATTAAACCTTCCCAAAATGCTTGTTTTATTTTCTCCCATTGGGTTGATTGCATGAAGCAATTGGTGAATAAAGCCACTTCATTCTGTTGAAAAAGAAAGAAAAAGGTGAAAGCCCTGTCAAGCTCATTCACATCACACTAATGCACGGAAAATAACTACCAAATCATGTAAACAGCAATTACCCTTGCTATAAAAACTTGAATTTCCCCCGATTCCATTTTCAGAAAACCCCTTTCACTTCTTGTTTATATATAGTTAACTTCCCATTTAATTCTAAGAACAAACTAAAATAAAAAGAACAAATATATTAATAAGAACCATGCCATTAATTTCTCACCTATTTTGTATTTACATAGGAAATTGGAAATAAATATCCTTGCATATAATGTTGACAAAAAGGAAGTAACTAGCTTGAAGAATTTGAAGAAGAGAGTAGGTTACGGAGATTACTTTTTGTAATTGGTGATACAAGATAATGAAATTGCTCATGGAGATTTTATACATTGTTTACTAGTTGATTTTTATTAGAGATTTTCTTATCTATATTTTTTTCTACTTCATTCTCATATNAAAACCCATAGTTCTTGGTTTAGTGTATTGACTTATCAACAATTTCGTCTCCTAAGTTTGTTATTTTGATGATTTGGACTATAAATTATGAGTTTGCGAACCAAGTGAATTCAATTTGGGTAAAAAATTACCCCAAGAATGTGTGAGTAGATTAGTTTAAGAATTCAGTGAATGAAAAGAATTTTTCGAGTGGTATATGTCAATTGATGTGGGCCCTTCTGAAATATTCTGTAATTTGCGCATGATTTGTGTAACCACACTGAATATTAAAGTAATCTGATTGTTTACCATAAAATATAATTCCTAATTTGTTTTAATACCAAAACCAAGAACAATGAAAATGATTTTGAGGTATAGACAGTTGTCTGAGGGACTATTTGAAATATTGAGTGATTTGCACTGGATTGGAAAAATTACACAAAATAATCGTAATGCTTACCATCACATATAATTCTGATTCTACTTTACATCCGAACTCTAGAGCAATGACAAGGATTATTTGGGAGGTGTATGACAGTTGTCTGAGAGCCTTTTTGAGACATTTAGTTACTTTTGCAGGATTGAAGTAATTACACAGGAAGTTTGCAGTAACCTGATTGTTTACTATCACAAACAATTCTGAATATACTAGGCCCAAATCCAAGAAAAAATTGCATTTCGTTCACATTTATAATTATTAGTTGTGACCAACTTCAGATTTGGAATCACCACCAAAAACGTCCATATTCCAGTTACTTGTGAATTATAGCCATCAGCATTGCTCTAAAAGAACTTCACAAGTTTATGCAGACAAAGATGAAATTTTGCTCACGAAATCCTTCACAAGGTATATTAGGTATAAGATTTAAGTAATTCCTATAGAAATCTATGTAATCTGCCTCATTTATTACGTATAGTCAGCATCCATTCTGTAAAAGAATTTAATTTATGATTACATCACTGGGCACCAAAGGCATACCTATTTTCATTTATAGTGCCTTACTGTGTGTTGAAAGGCTCCAAATCACAGTGGAGCACAAATACAGACATATTCCCATTCACCTTCACAAGCTCAATTTTCACTAGTGCACACAGATATATTACCTTTTTCTGGTATCCTTCCCCGAATCCTGTCAAATACAAACCAAAAATAATGGAAAGACGTCGAATTCTACAAAACCTCTTTGGCTATCAATCAGAAGATGAGGAGGTCAACTCAAAAGATGAATTAGATCACCAGGATAACCTTGTGTTTGTATGGATCTGTTTATACAACCTTTGTTTTTCATTACTATTAGAAGTATTTTATTATTTTATTTTTGACTCATTTTCTGTTCATGAAAAGTTATCTCTATAGATATTTGTTTTTTTCATCTTCATTAGGAATGTATGGTATTTAGTGTCAAAATTATTTGTGAGTATATACATGCGTCTGTCATTTGGTAATCCTCGAAACTTTTGATAATTATTGTTTTCATTTTATGAAACTTTTATTCTTTTCTCACTCTTTTTTTTTTTTTATTTTACTTTCTTAATGACAAAGTTGATTTACGGATTTTAATCTCAGTTTGCGGGATTAGTCTGTGTGTCCTCACCCCTTATATCTTTGCTAGTCTCCCGCGTGTCTAGATCTATGCTACTGCGTGATATAAAACTACTTTTGTAAAGCAGCTACTTAATTTTGTAATTATTTGTATTTTGTTGGTGAAAACATCTGTGTTGTATAATTATTTGCTGAATATATGTAATTTTCAAGGGATATTGAATTGTCTATAATGATTGGATTGGTTCAATTCTAGTGGTAGTTCAAGTTTGACTAACTGTCTCAGTGCCATAAACTGTTTGGTTTTAAACAGTTAACATGATTTTATCTCGCAATTGGTATAGATGACATTGTTAACACCAAATAAAAGAGTTAGTTTATTTTTATCATTCTACAACATGCGTTCTTAGTCCCCTGAAAATCGGGAGAAAAATGCTTGTGGTGGTTGGGATTGTTGCATTTGTTTGATTGTCCCCTCCCCCATGATCATGTCAGCATATGATCCTCGTCAATAGATGTTGTTGAGTATATCATATCAAGGCCCTATATGAGTAGCCCCATAAGGCCCACAAAGAACTCTGTATATATGGTCATTCATATCAGAGGAATACATCAACTCAGAAAATCCCATATGAGTGTGTATGTTTTCTCCCCTAGCATTCCTCTAAAGTACATAAAGAAAAACGAGAACAGATAAAATAATATAGAACTGTTTCTCTTGAGTTATAGTTTATTGTAACTGAGTAGTGTGAAGGTATGTCGCCATGTTTGTTGAATCTCTTGTTAGTATGTGAGGTTAGTAAGTGAATTACTGCTGGACTAAGAAATTCTGGTAAGTGAAGAGGTAATAAGTTCTGATCCTTTGCTTTTTGCTTGAGTTTTATGCTGCTGCTTAGATCATTGTTCAACTGATATGCCCCCATTGCAGTAAATTTCGTTTTTTCCGTTTTTTATTTCTTTTAATTCAGGGGGCATACAATATTTCCTTAGTTATGACTTCTGTATTGTGATTCCTGTTTGACTCTATTTTGGAAAAGGATGGAGGGCTGGAATCTGAGATTGAAGGCAATAGTGGAAGCAAGGGAGAGGCTGATCTCCCAGGGGGTGCTCCTCATGGTCATCCCGAAAGCTCAAGGTTGTATATTCAGTCTCATCCTCTGCATTTCTTGCCATTTACATCTTTTTAGTATCTAGATATGGAATTTACTTTCCCCTTCCTGCTCCTAGTACTTAATTGATTATATTTTTCTTTCAAATCACTTCTCTTCTTATAGATTTTAATTACTTCCCCTTCCTGCTACTATTACTTAATTGGTTATAAATTTTTCGTCTTCTTTGTGGCTTATCCTCATCCTTATGCACTTTGTACGTCAGCAATTTGTCATCTATGATGCACCTTACCACTGTAGGTCTCCCAACTGACCCTGATTTGATGCACATTGTACGACCTGTATACAAGAATCAGTTTTTGGTGAACTTTTTATTTGAAAAAGAAAGAAAAATGGAATTCCGAGAGCCACAGAAGTTTAATTTTGAACAATTTTGATTAGTTGGTCCGTGTTAGAGTGATGCATTTGTTTGATTCTTTTGTGTGGATGAATAAGATAAAAGTGGAAGCGGTGACTAAAGGCACAGAATGGTTAAACAAAAATATCATTATGCTTTTCTTGAAATCCTCTTTCCTTATTCATTTATTTCTCTGATGAAAATGCTGTAATTGGGAGTTTCAATCTCTTGCTCAGCTCTAATATTCTCGATCCAATAAAAGTCCTTCATTCTGTATGTGTTTGTGTTCTATATCTCCTGTCCATCGTTGCAGATTACGGGATAATGAGAAGGGCGAGGCTGGGCATTCGGCTGCGGTAATCAATGAAGTTTTTGGAGACTCTGATGATGAGAAACTGACTAACGAGAAAGTTGTTAGTATAAGATGCTAAAATCTCAATTTTCTCTTATGTGTGCTATTTAGAGCATTTGGCACATGTTTTAAGTAACTTTAACCCTATTTAGATTGCTGAAGAACCACACAATGCTACTGAGACCAAAGTGAAAAGAAAGGAACTTGGTCCCTCGGATGTGCTTGAAATTCCTTTACGCCGGCCCCCAGCTGCTGCAGATCAGGTTTATCATAATTGTCTTGTTCTCATTGGAGCTTTATGTATCATTTTGTTAAGTATCTCATTTATAGACAATGACAAATAGAAGTTGTAGAAGTCTCGAATTATCAGTGTATCATGACATCCGGCAGATATTTAAACAGAAAAATGTTACTTATTAGTTCTTTTTTCTTTTTTCTTTAACCATTGAATCTCATTAAAACTACTAAGGCATAATGTAACTGGGATTAGAACAACCTCCTAAATCAATACACTCCTGTGAGTTTCTTTTATGTTTTTTTTCTTTTACTGGTCAAGTTTTCCAATTTGTCCATTGCATGGAGCTGGAAGAGTCATTGTTGACAATTCTCCTGGCATAGTGCTAATAATGGACTAGATCAAAATGGCTCAATTAAATTCTAGTGCTTCTTCTATTAGTGAAGTTTCTAGAAAAAAAATATATCAAACGGCGCAATGCACCTTGGGTCGCTACGGAAACAGCCTCCTTGTATAATTACAAGGGTAAGGTCTGCGTACAACTGACCCCCCAGACTCCAACCTGTTGGGAATATACTGGGTATGTTGTTGTTGTTGTACTGGTCAAGTTTTCCAATCATGGCCATTAAATCTTGATTGATTCGTACGCCTCTTCAAGATCAATAAAGACCATACACAAAATTTGTTTTCACCTGTTATACTGCTCACATAGTCGTCTAGTAAAATTTACAGCTTCAATTCTAGATCTTCCTGGCATGGAACTAATTTGATTTAATCTAGTATACTAGCTCCTGTCTTGTTTCCATTGGTCCAATATAAGAAGAAGAGTGTTAAATTATTTTGCACTCCACCAAAGTTTCAGTTTTGCTAGAAATCTAAAACCATGATGTAATATCCTTACGTTTTCTGACATTAGCTGATAAAAGAGAAACTTTATGTCCAGTTCTTAAGTGCTATATTAATCGTGTTTGGCAGATGGCAGCAATCAGAATCTCCAACATAATTGGTATTGACCCCAAGCCATTTGATCCCATGACATATGTGGAAGAAGATCTTTATGTGACCGACGAATCTGGAACAAAAAGACCCATTCCCCATACCAATGTCATTCGCTGGAGAGAAGTTAAGAAGAACCCTAATGGAGAAACTTCTGTGAGTTACTATATGAAACAGCTATTTCTTGTTCATAAAGCTCTCAAAATTTTCATGTTCCCCGTTAGTGTGTGTGTCGCATACATGCTGAGAAGAAAATATATGGCTTGTTTTGGAGCACTTGTAAAATTTTGAATGTCAAAAGGTCATTTTCCCTAACAATTGGTGTGTGGCAGTGAATTTGAATGGACTTATGGATTCATCCTTTATCAAGAAGTCTATTGAGGTGCCCATTCTTGAAAAGTCATTTTCTGGATAGAGAAGATCTTCTAAGAATGATTATGGGCTGAGATATGTGAGAGTAGATGGGAGAGTAGAGTTATATAATTATATAATTAGGAAATATAATTTTTTTTTGCCTAAACGCATAGTGAGAGTAGAGTTAGAGTGACAATGAGTGGATTAAGATATCACATAATTTTATCTTTGTTAGTTAGGTGCTAAAGAATGTTCAAATGCTATCTCCTTTATAATCTGAATATGCTATCCTTTTATGGGAAGCTTGCATATCTAATGCACATAAAAACAATGTACATGCAGGTTGAAAGCAATGCTCGCTTTGTGAATTGGTCAGATGGGAGTATGCAGCTGTTCATTGGTAATGAGCCTTTTGACATATCTGAGCAGGAAGCACAAGACATCCAGATGCACCTTTTCCTCAAGCACAAGAAGGTATTACTTGAGTACTGCTATGAATTTTGAAGAGAGAAGCAAGAAAGACCAAGATATATGAACTGTTCACCTGAAGGGCTACAAGAGTTTCAATTCTCTTAAACTTATTGATACATATAAATTTTATGAGTGTGTGTGTGTGTATATACATATGAGAAATTGGGTATATAGTTGGAAATCACTTGTATCAATTGACATCAAATGAAATATTGTATTTGCCTTATTTGATCAATTTTGAATGATTTTACTATCTCAAGAACTATCCAACAATAATTGCGCCTACTTTCCAATTATAAGTGGTTGCATTTTTTGACATTTTTATTTTGATTGTTCCATGCGAGTAAGCTAACAGCCAGATAGAGTAATCGTTTTCAACTTCTGATCTAATTTCATATGTCTTTTGGGAACATATGCAGGGGATATACCAATCACAGGGTAGAATCTCAAGAAAGATGAAGTTTATGCCTTCGTCTGTATCTTCTAATTCCCATCGTTCCTTGAGGGCTATGGTTGAGTCGAGGAACAAAAAGGTCAACAAAGTAAAGCATTATGTCCCTGAGATTGACCCTGAGAGGACGGTGGAGCAATATGAAAAGGTATATACTTACCAGAAATTTGTTTAATATGATATGAGATCCCCTCTTATGCAGTTGTTCTCACGAATGCATAGGTGGAAAGGCAAGCAACTAAAGCTAGTAAACAGCTTGAGAAGAAAAAGAAGAAATTGGCTGAGAAGTACAGGCCTAAGGGCCGCATGGTGCCTCAACTTTCATCTGGGTTTCTTGAGGAGACTTCTGATGAGGTCAAAAAATCTGTTATATTTCCTTTGTCATCCAAGTTAATTGAGTGTCCACATTAGTGAGAAAGATTGAATTGATATCATACTCTGTCTTACACAGTTATTACTCTTCCCCTTTGCCCTGTCAAAATCATCAAAACAGGAAAAGGCAAACGTGAAACAAATAGATAATAAAACATATTTAACCAAAAAAATAGCTTAGTGGTTTAGATTATTCATGTAATTATGCCGTATTTAGTCATTTACATTAGTTTTTCATTGTTTCATTTGATTTATGATATGAGCAGAAATCTTATGAACCTCCTGCTACTATGCATCAACTTGATCTGGACCATGAATCGGAAGCTAAAGCAGAGAAGCGCATCATGAATGCAAAGAAGGTATGCGATCCATAGCATATGATCCCTCTGGGATTCTATTTAAGAATTTACCTTTTTTTGCTGAAGTATAACAATCTAACCTTTCTTGACTTCCAGTTGACAAAAGATGCCAAAAAATCTTCATCATCTGGAGCTAAATCAGCTAGGGGTTCATCAAAAGTCTCTGAAGAAGAAAAGTTTGAGCCAAGACTAGGGCATAAAGGGAAAGAGGTCAAAGGGTCCTTATCCCGTGCTAAATCAGCAGAACTGAAAGGAGAAGAAGAGCTTAATGACGACCCATATGTTGATGCTGAGGTCAGTGATAATATCTTCGCATAATTTATATTTACAGAAAGAGTCCAATAGCATACAGAACTCAAAAAAGTTCCTGTAACTTCATTGTACAATATTTGAGAATTTGTTTCCTGAAGTACTTTGTGGGTCCCCCTTCAGACATGCTACATTGTGCTAGACCATGTGATGAATGGTTTTCATGTTTTAACTGCAGTTTTTGCTGTTAAATTGACAAATGTGATTTAGTTGTCATTTATTGACATGTCTTGTGAGTCTTTTCGCACATTAAATATAGCTGTTCAACGTGTCGACAATAGTTAAGCACCATGAGTGCATGACCAAGACGTATGCTTGCTTCTTTGGGAAGGTTTACACGCATATCACCTTAATTTTATGATGATATGTTAATAGGGCTGGTAATTTTTTACCAAAAACGAACCGAACTGACGAGAAAATAAACCAAACCGAACCGATTCGTTTGTAACGGTAACCGATTATCGGTTACCGAATTGATATCAGTTCCCAACCCTTTAGGGTTCGGTAAAACCGAAACGAACCGATAAGGATTAAAAAAAATTTAGTTTAAATTGTAAAATAATAGCCAATTAAGTTACTTAATTAGCCTTAGTTAAATATTAGCCAATTAAATACTTAAATTAGTTAAATAAAATAAAAAATTAGGTTACAATAATACATAACTTAATTAATAGTCTTATACAAACTCGCATGTCACCTCTGAGAACAGAAAAAATAAAATAATTAAAATTAAAAATCAACCCCGGCCTTTGACAAAATTGCAATTAAAGCCTAGTAATTTTTTTAAACCAATGCCCCACTAATTACTAATTAGAAATGTTTTTGTACTGGCCACAACAATTCCACTATTTTTTCAATCTTATCCTTTCCTTCTTTTTCAGACATGTTGGTTGCTGTGTATTCAGCCGTTGGCTGCTGTGTTTTCGCACATTTGTGCATTTTGATTTATAAAATTATCTATCGTTTCGGGAAAAAAAAAATCCTTTCCTTCTTTCTTTCTTAGTAAATTTAACCAAAACGGCGAAACCAAAAAAAAAAAATAATAATAATAAAATAAAACCGGAAAACCAAAAGTTTATTTTTATTTTTCCTTCTTCCTTCCTTCTTTATTTCTTACTGATTAGAATAATGTTGTTTTTCCTTTCGGTTTTGATTTTTTATCGGTTAAAAACTGGAACTGAACCTTCTTTTTGGTAACCGAAAATCGGTTACCGGCTTCTAATCGGTTCGGTTTCGGTTTCGGTTTCGCATTTTAGTGTTAGTCTAATGCTGAATATTTGAATGTGGAAGACAAATATTGAGAGAGATGGTTACAGAAAAATATAATGTGGTTTGGCTACCTGGGTTACACCATCGAATAAAGTGCTGATGTGGACTCACATTCTTCTATTGTATTTTTATTTAACAATAATATCTATGCTAATTTAATGTACATGAAGATATATCAACTAAGATAAATCATCCATAAAAATTTAGGCTTGTTCACATCATTAGTAGGTTTTATAAGCTCTCAGCCGCAATAACGATATCTAGAGGGTGCCTTGATCAGCTCATAAGTTCTTTAAAAGCATCCAAGTTGATGATCAGAAGAAGCTTGGCTCAATTTGTGTTTGTAAGCCGCTTAGAAAAGCCTTATGGCTCGTAAAGGCATTAGGAGCCTTTTAGTATGTTCTATAAGATTTTGGGATTACAAAATGTGTTGGCAAAATAAGATCTTTAATGACCTTCTAATTTGAACATCTCAGTTGAAAAAACGCCACTACTATATGTGAACTCTCACCATATCCTTAAATAAGACCTATGAACTTGTAAGCTATAAACATAATCTAACATGTTGGAGCCATAATGTTCTATCAATAAGCCTAACCAAACACTGGCCTGATAAGATAATCCACTATACAAAGGTGAGCATTTAACACAACCAAATCTTTTCTTGCTCGATTTTGATTTCTATACTTCAAAAGTAGAAATTGCGTGTCTAGAAGTTTAACTTGTTTACTGAAATTGCACTTTTGGTATTTTACCTTTTCAGCTGCTTGTAGAGATGAATTCATAGTGATTGACATTTTCTCTTGTTTTGGTCTAACTTGAAAACTATTAAATTTTGTCGAACAAGTACCGTCGAACTTATTGAGCTTGCGATCAATATAATAATCCTGGAATTGATGTCCCAACACAATAGTTATCAGTGCGGAGTCAATATAACTAGTGGCGTAGTGTTCAATAGCATTTGCGAGAAAATGTGATCTCACGACAAGGTGATGACAACAAGAAAACATGTTAACATGTTGTATACGTATATCCTTCTAACCATCAACTACAAAAGATCATAATTTTCAATACCGGACCAAACCAGACAGTTGGCCAGGAACCAATCAGTGGTCAAGAACCTCGCACATGGCCAAATCCGGTCGGTTGGACCGGTCTATTCTTTTTCTCTTAAGAAAAAAAAATAGTTTTAATATATTCTAAAATATTTTTAATGTAAATAAAAATATATATTTAAATATATTGGATCTGTATAAATTGTATATCAATTAGTTTAGGCATTTACATATTTTAAGTTATATGAATATTTAATTAGTATTGTTTTTATACATAAAATGTATTACTTGTAGTATTGTTTATATTAATAAATTAAATGCCGGTATAACTACTGGTCCGAACAAGGACCACTGATCCTATCGACCGGTTCAGTTCATGAAAAACCTTATAAAAAACTAGACCTTATCAAGACATAATAAACTATATCAAGCTTCAATATAACTAAGAAATTATCATGATAAGAGGACTCTACAACTTCTCAAATGACGAAGCGTAAGTCTAAGCTATGGCCAAATAGGCATGGCTTTAGTTACACTATAAAGAAAAATTTGAATTTTAAATATGACAGTATTAAAGATGAATGAAAAGATAATGAAGGATACAAAGATACAATATGGTTTTCCAATGGCACGTATCCTCATAGTGATTGCTTAAATATTGGTTGATTACAATTTACTTCCTCCGATAGAAATAGTTATTTCTTGCAAATTAAGAAATGTCTTAATACAGTAATTGAGCCCATTCATGCTTTCGCGGCTAATATCTTGTTTATTCATTGATTACACAGTACTCGTAGAAGCTAACCTTGATAAATCGTGCTAGGTGATTTCAAGATATTAAGTAAAGGTTTACAATGAAAAAGGAAGTAGAAAATTAAGATAGCCTATGAGGTGGAGAAGGGAGGTGAATCTTTTTTCTCCACAATATGTGAAAATAAATCAATAACGCATACACTTATCACATATGAAACTTAATTCGTCTATGCCAATAATGGAGTGTTTCTTATTAAAGTTCATTTCTTTTACTTTAATATTGACCATATACACTTATTAGCTCGGGGTCTCGATAGATTTGTTTTCTTTTGGGAAATATTTTTAGAATTTTGCATTAGATGGTGGAATGTTTGTAGACATTCTTCACGTGGCCACATGTGAGGCATTGTATATTGCACTTTGATACTCAAATATTGTGTGCCTAAGAAGGTATTCTTGTCTGTCTCAATGTTTAGGGTGGTTGAGTTGGCGAAAAAGGAGGCCGGTGTCAAAGTAAAAAAGAGTCGTCATTAAAATTGTGAAAATTAAGTTAAGCTTTACTTCATATCTAAAGATGTTGATAAGGCAAAAAGTGATTGAGATAAATAAAAAATTTATAACCTAATATATTGAGTCATTGGAAAGTGACCACGGTAATTTGCCATTAATAATTTTAAATTATGTCATACCACAATTATATGATCTCATGTGGGATATATAAATATGAGGAAATTTGATGTTGTTGTATATATGCTACATAATATTTTGATAATATCATAGATTCATAGTCGTTATAAGTGCAAAGGAGCCCAATGTGCAAGGCGCAAAACAAGGCATGCACCTTTTGGAAGTAAGGCTAAAAAAGGAGAAAATAGAAGAAGAATTATTAGAAGTTATGTTTGTCTTGCATCACCGAATTTGTAGGTTATTGTGAATAATTAATTAATTATGGGCCTAGCAATTTCCTCCTTTGAGCTAGCTTTTGGATAGTTCTGCTTGTCCCATTGAATTGAAAATGAAATTTATGATATAAGCATGCATAAAATCATACTTTGGATATCCATAATCAAAATGCATAAAGAAGGGCATCCAAGCAACATGACTTAAATAATGTCCTAGCCTTATCCGCTCTCCACTTTGGCTTAGGTTAAATAAGTGGCCCGACTTAATACGTCTGGCCACTTTATTAAATCCCTAGAAAAACGTAGGTGCAACTTAACAATTATGTAAGCTATTCTTCACAACCATAGACATCGATGAGGTGGTGTTCATTGTGTGCCTTTGTTGAACATATACATGTTTGAGTATTGGATACGATACAACATGGATAAGGCAATACAAAAACTATATGTTTATATGTTATATGAAAACTAAACTTTCCAAGTCTCACGCATATCAAACCATGAATATAGAATCTAACATCGTGAAAAAGATAACAAGATTAAAGACAATAGAATCCATTTCAAACGAGTTAAAAATCCATCATACTTTTAACATAATTAATCATTTCCATTATAATGCTACGTTGACCCCAAATTAACAAGGTTTCAATTCCAATTAAACCATCGGTGAGTATCGGATATAATATGTCCGATATGGATACTTCAAATGTATGTGTGCTTCTTCTTTGAGGCTGAGCCTTTAACAACTATGAGGCTATGTGGTGCACAAGCTAGGTCCTTGGGAGCCTTTGTGCCTTGGTAGCAAGTGATAAATGTTTTTAATGTTTTATTTGCTCAATTCATGTAGCGTTTTTGCCTTTGCAGTAGGTTTAGAGTTGTTATCTTCAGCTTAGTGGGCGTTGTTTTTCTCACTTTGTCAAGTTTGTTGTTTTGCATTATCTTGCTTTCGTTTTTATTAATTTGGTATAAGTAAATTATGAGGTCTTTCATTAGTTTCTTGAAGCAGTTCTATTTCCAAGTTCTATTTCTACTGCTCATGACACCGAGGAACATGACCAGATCATGCCATTAAATATACTAAAGGGGGAAAAGGTGAAAGTTGTAGATTTTCCTTATGAAGTCTGTAAAGAGCATATTAGTTTTATCATCAATGAAACATTAAAAGCCCATGGGCCACCCACCTTCAGGAGTTGGTATGAGTGTTGCCGTCTCATTTAGAGCAGNGCATGTATACCGCGAAACATTTTGTGACTTACCTGCTGAAACACAGTAAAAACAAAAGATCAATGTATCGTGAATAGACCCTGTTTTATTACATCTCTCATATTTTTCTGGATCTTAATCTTTTTGTACGACAACACTTATCATTTACCAAAACAAACTTAATTCCTGATGATCCAAAGAACATCACCCACCTTCCAAAGATGGTATAAGCTTACAGGCTCATATGTTAGTTAGTTTCTTTTTGTTTTGTGTGTGAGCTTGTGTGTGGGTGCTTGCATGACTTACATCTCCTTCAAAATTCAATTCCCCCTTTTGATTTTCTAATTTCGGGATTCAATTTTTATTTATTTTTATGATACTTTCAACCTTATCGTATTTTCAAACTTAGAGCATATATAAACTCATATTTCTTTTTTGATCCTTTCTATTGTAATTACAATTCATCTGATAACCTTTTTAGTTGATGAACTTGTAAAACTATATGATTCATCTGAAAAGGGCATGATAATGACTTTTTTCTGTATTAAATCAACAAAGCCCAAAGTGACGTCTCTTTCTCCTTCAAGTTTTACCTACTACAGTACCGGAGTGAATATGGTTTGTTTGGGTATTCTTATATGAAGATATGCACTTGTATTTATATGCATTTATGTTGTCTATAATTATTTACCAATAATATGATGAAATTCACTTTCTCAGTTTGCGACACTACATTTTTCTCACAACAATTTTAAAATCTGAATTATTCTGCAGGTAATAAAGCGAAAAGGTAATAGATTCATTGAATCCGATGAAGACATGTGGACGCCTCCAAGGAGAACCTCAGGCAGACGCCAGCTCACAATTGTGTACGATCCTGATGACGAATGATAAAATGTTAGTTTATTGCTTAATAACTTTTTTTATTATTTGAAGTTCATAGTATCTGTCATTATTTTGTGCAATCACTATAACCGGCATAATCATTAATGAAGAAGATGCTAGAGAGAGAGAGAGGTATATACCTGTCCAAGTTCTTTCTACTCCATCTTTAACAAGTATTTAAATTTTTTCTTCCGCATTTCTAATGAGAGTAGGTGTTTCTGTAAGATGTATCTGGAATTTTGTGTTTTATCACTTCTTTTGCCATCAAGCTTCATTTATTGGTTATGAAGCTGCAACATAGCAAGATTGCATATGCATTTTAAATCCTGAGACCAAAACAAGTGTAAATATGTCCTTTCAAATGTAATCTCAACAATCAAGAACTGTATGTTGATTAATTATAATCAGAGTAAGGGAAATGTTCTACAAAAAATGAGTTAATATGAAACTGACAAGATGGGTTCAACTGGATAACAATCTTTGACTTCTAAAGGATGTTTGATGTTTAAGGATATCTGAAACATACAATAAATCATCTTGTATATATGATGGATGTTTTTTTTTTTTTTTTAATGCCAAGAGTCTGTCTACTCTTAACTCTACATTTTGAAATTTTAGATTTTTTTTTAGCTTTTTTTGTGAGTCAACTATTTTGCTGGACTGTATATAGTCAAAAGTGTTGAAGAAGACAGAACTACCCCAATCACCCAGAAGATGTGTTTTCTGTAAACCAAAAACAGTTATGATGTTATTTTTAGACTTATTACGTTTCCAAATAAATTTGGGCATCTAGTGGCAGTCACTAGTTAAACCCAGGCTGTTCATTTATCGTTTTCTAGCCGTTCATATGACTATATTTAGTGCTGCTAGACAGACAGCTGGTGGACTTAGCAAACCTTATGACTGATTAAAACTTGACTAATCTGTATTTTGCTCTTTGATTTCCTCATATGCAGTGGCTCTTGTTTTTGTGATGAACCATGGATATTGCAAATTTCATACATCTGAGTTCATATGGAAAAATTCGATCCTGCTGCCATCGGGAGTTTGTTGATCAAATGGTAAACTACTGCCACCGGTAATTGAATTTGCATTCATATGGATGATTTTTCAGCATCTTTAGGTTGGTTTTATCTCGTTTTTCCAGATGGATTATATATTTATGCAGTTTTATGCAATTAGCCTTTTGTAACTTTTTGTTAAACATTTTGGAGGTAAACTCTCCTTCAAACTATTAGTAGTTTTACCTTCTCATTTTCTTTGGAGATAATGATTTCAGTAGTTGATCACCAAGAATTAAACCTTACGAATTTCGAGCTTGAGTTTGATTATTGCTCGAACCAATATTTGTTCATTATTCAAGTGAGAGTGTGAGACTAGTGTTCGAGTTTGTTTATTTATTATTATTATTATCTATCTATATATATATATATATATATATAATTACTAGCAGATGCATTTAATAAAATCTATTTTCATTTCCTTCCAAAAGGAGTTATATGTTTTTTAATTAATTACTCACTAATCTGCTAAAACCGTTATATCTTAATATATATATTTTTATTATTTATTTTTTGGATCAGTTACTAAATTAATTCTAAATTTGGTAGCAAAATATTCAAATGTGTAACCGCTAATGTTGGAACTTAAAGTTGATTGGCATATTCAGATTTGTAACTGCTATATTTGGTTGCATTGTTGGAAGAAAAATGTGATTGGCACATATTTTTTTTTTTTCTAAAAATCAGAAATATCAATAATTTTTTTTATTTATGTTAATTTTCTTAATATATGCCACAAATATATAAATTATTTTATTCATGTTACTAATGTAAACGTTGCATGATTAAAATAAAATTTAAATCTCAATTAATTTTGAATGATAAGAATAACTTAAGAAAAAATAATAATTTTTATATGATAGAAGCACATGTCTAATTAATAAATACAAATAAAACGTATTTTATATCTGTGCAAATGCACAAAATCAAATACTAGTTAAAGTTGAAATTTCGACCTTATTCGTATTAAATGAACAAAATTTACATCCTCAAATTAAACTGGAGCTCTATTATGCTCGAATTGTTTATTAGGAATACTTCTCTGAAGGCAAAATATGAATTTCTAATGTCTCCCAACTTTTTTCTATTCAAATAACTAATAAGTCAATCATACTCTTAACAGTAATGATTGTGCTCACCAACAATAATAATAATAATAACAATAATAATAATAATAATTGTAGACATTGAAATTTAATATTTTATTAATTAGTGTCTTTATTTATTTTTAGACATAAACTCAAGGTAAAAATAGTTATTTAATCAATAAAAGAAAAATGTTACAAGTACATAATAAATGTACATAGAGGTGTACATGACACTCACATGGAGTAGGGTTCACTTGATTTTTTATTTTTGTGGGTCTTACTCAATGTGAGTGTTATGTACATATACCCCTATGTATAATATTATGTACCTATAGCATTTCTCTTAATAAAATACACATTTCTTGTCCATCAAGTCAAATCTTAGAATAAGGAAAAATTTTAAGATAAGGAAATAGATTATATCAAATCATGAAAGATCAGTCAGATGTCTTTTTCTCGAAGACTCTATCTTCTACCCCTATAAATTTGGTTCTCCTCAAAGCCGCAAAAGGACACCTCATAAATCAAAGTATCAAGTTCAAGAGCTATCTTGGAGATTTGAAGTGCATTCAAGTTGAAAATCGACATTCAATTCGGAATCAAGCCTCATAGCCTCCAAAGTACGCTCGATGGAGAAGAATGTCAAAAAGAAGAAAAAGAGATAGCGGTTCTTTTCAAATAAATAAAAATGCAACCTCCACTCCTCTCAAATCAATTCAAGAATATCAACGATCAACGACATTCAACAGGCATTCGTCGAGAAGTTCAACCAACATAGCGTTTGATCCGAGAAAAAACTATCAAATCCTCGAGTCAACGGTTTTCGAGCTAGAATCCACATTCTAGGAAGATCGGAGAAGCAAGTCCATGAAGTTTGTTCGTCCAAGCAAAAGAGCCGTGAGGAGCATGGTGAAGGACTGAAAAATTTGAAATGTTTTGATCCAAAAGCCTCCAAACTTCTCGTTAAAGTAGGATACAACTCCAAAGAAAGTCACTCCTTGAGAAATCTCATACCTCAAAAGCAAAAGCACAACGGAGCAGTTCTCGGATATGTGGCATCGAATCCAATTAGAATCGCCATCAGGAGAGCAAACGGCAACCATGTCTCGGAAGAAGAGTTCTCATCCACTGACGACGGAAATAAAGGGCAAAGAGTGTCAGTGTTTCAAAGACTTGGTCCGGTCCGAAAGTCAAAGGCAAACAATCTGTGTTTCAGCGAACTATATCCTCCAAACCATCCAAGCCTTTAGGACAAGAAAGAGGCACGGGCCTATCTCCAAAGCTTCAAAGTCGGATTCCGTCACGTATGCAATGTTAAACCACCCTAATCATATCTTGTGGGAAAGTTTTAAAGCAAAAATGCACACGATCGTTCAGGCAAGAGTACATGACGATGAGATGAGGATAGGGAAAGTGTCGTTTCGTCTTATTATGCTTGCGGTACTCTTAGAACTCCTCGAGATGATGAAAATTCTCTTTACTGAAAGATAGTTTCTTTGCTGAGAAAGGGATATATCGCTAGATTCGATGAAAATGTGCAAACACGACTTGTCACGGGAAGAAATGGACGGGTGAGAGCACGTATCAAAAAATAACGACTGTGAGATGGACTCACATTGTAATGATTATTTTGTTATGTTCAAGGGACGTCTCGTTTTTCTGTGGTTATACACATTATTAGGTTTTATCCCTTTGCATATGTATGTGACTTAGGTTGTTTATATCTCATTTATGTAAATATAAGTTAATGTTATTTAAATATGTCATATTTTTTTAGAATCTCAATGTTTGAATTCAAGGTGTATTATGTTTATCTCGTTTCAGAATTGTTTATATGTTGTTTATCTTATGCATAACTACATTCGATTTGGTTTTTGCAGTCATTCCTTGATCTTTCTCATATTTTGTTTAGCTAATTCATATATTTACCATTACTATACTACAATTGCGTGTGTAATATATATGTTCTGACAATTGTCTCAATGTTAGAACTGTCAGATTATGTCTATCTGATGTATATATACAGTATAATATATATGTTCTGTCAATTGCCTCAATATGAGAAACTACCATATCATTTTTATTTGATGTATATATACAGTATATCTGAACATATTTTAAAAACACCAGCACAAAATTAGAGATTTCACGAAGAACAACTTTTTTGTTTTCACTNAGAGAAATATAATCTCGTAGATGTGAAAAAAAAAAAATCACATTCAAATACCATTTTGATTAAAGTTTATTTGCTACGTAGATATATAAATATATCTTAGATGGACTCTATATATGTAAATTTCTCAATTGTAATTTTGACCAATCTGATCAATCGGTAGTTGGTACAATATTTTCAGATGGCACACAATTTTGTTTTTGGCCTTAAACCCAAAAGGCCTTGTACTGATGCAGATCTGTTCACGTTTATAAGAGCATCTCCTATCATAAACTCTATTTTTAGAGTTTCTACAGTGAAACCCCATTAGTTTTACAGTTTTAGCAGTGTCATCAACTCCAATCTATTCCCTCTATAATTCTCCTCTAAAAGAATATTTCTAACATATTCTTTTCTAATTTTATTAGTTTATTAAATGGCCTTTACAAATTACATTTTAATGCATTACGCTTGCATAAAATTTACATATTTATGTATATATATTGATTATTGATTAATAAGATGAATTAATAAATTTACATTAAAACCATAAAATTTACATATTTATGTATATATTTTATTTGTAATATTTATTTGAGTTTAAATACTAATCAAAATGATAATTAAATAAGATATTAAGTTGCAATAATTAAATTTCAAATTTTAATACAATATTTTAATTTAATCCATAAAACTAATTAAATTATTAAAAAAACACTCAATTCAGGGCCCAAAATTTGCCAACCCAACTCATTTTTTTACTTAAAAAAAAAAAAAAAAAAAAAAATTGAAGAGGATGATAAACAGTGGAACGGTGCGGAAACCGTTCCACAAACCTCTTCGCCTTAAATAGCGGAGAGTAGAGAGTTGCATTGAAGACCATTTCTCTCCATGAAGAGTGTTTCTGCTTGGTTTATCAGTGGGTTGGAGATGCTCTAAATTTTTTACCTAACCCATATGTAACTTATGTGGGACTTCATTTGTCTTAACAACCATGTGACCAATTTTGTAAGCCTTTTTGAAAAATAAGTAAATTTATTTATTTTCTATATTATTTTACAATTGCATCTATAAAATGATACAAGTAAACTAAAATGTTATTATAAATTACGTGAGCTTCCTATCGAGCTTGCAAGCGAACCAGCTCACGAGCTAACAAGCTAAATATAACTAAGCTCGTGTTTGATTCAAAAAAAATTCACGAGTTCATTCAAACGAACTCAAACATGCTTTTACCGAGTTGAAGTTGCAATAATTTGTAAAACACCTAAATTCATTTACACCCTAAATATATCTCAAGTCCGTTACTATTGTTACACAATGTATTAAGGGGTGTACAATTTTCCAATTCATACTTAAAATCTAATTCAAACTTTAAATTTATTCCTCTACCCTCAATATTAATTATCAATATAATTGGATAATACGCATATACGTCACATCAATTTTAATTCACTATTCATCAACTCATATAACTTTAATTAATCATCACTTAAAATCATTATATCTTACTTTTAATCAACTTTAATTATTTTATTTTAAATATATTTTAATATAACTCAAAATTTCACTAACAACTAATGATACTAACATTTTTAAATTAACTCTGATTAAAAAAAAAATCAGCTGATATATTTATATCCAAGCATACCTTTAATGCCTCGATATTTAATTATAGTGAAAATTAAACTGGTCAATGGAATAAACAAAAATATAATCAAAATTTCATTCACTTCAGCCTTCGTTATTTATTAGGTACCGAAAATTTCAGACACTAAAAATTTGAACATTTCATCCTACCGTTAATTCTACCTAACACTGATCATAAACAACAAAACAATGGTCTATTTTCGATTTGAGTTAGGTGTCTTTTTTCCCTTTCTACCAATTATGAAAGTAAATATGCACCAAAGAACAGAAAACCAGTTGGAGGTCATGTCATGTCAGGTCATTTTTTTCGAGGCATGCTTGGTGAGATTGTATATCTGATCATTATATCTGGACATTATATCATTACATCTTAAATAGTAAATTATATTAATTTGAAAAATAATTTATTTTTTATATATAACGAAATAAAACTTAAGAAAAA